AATATATTATATATATATTATATAAATATAAATATTTATATAATATATTATGTCGAATCTTTTTAATTAACAAATATATGATATAAGCTGATTCGCAATTGACCAATTCAATTTGCTGTGTTAGAAACTTCAAAACAATGTACAGTATCGTATTTACGAATATAAGACGATCTCGCATATAGGACGAGGTGTGACTTTAAAGATCAAAATAAAGAAAATTAGGTTTATTAATACAACTCTAATTTTATTTCGTTTAATAGCAAATAAAATATCAAATGCACGTAAATGCACACATTGTCCTGCAAAAATTACTGACATCTTAAACTTCAAGAAAAAATCTTGTAAAATCGACAACATAATTTGTTCATAAAAGCTATACAATCGGGAAGCTTTTTTGCCAATTCTTAAGTCGAATTCACTCTTCGTCGTTTACACTTCTGAGTTTCTTCGAATTTCCAAATAATCATCCGTTTTCACATGGGAATGGATTAAAACTTATATCGGGCTCCAGTGTAATTTTGGAATTCAATTCAAAAGCTTTGCTTTTCCTATTGCTATTCATCTTTACTCCTGGCAATACACAAGAACGATTCAAACGACCCAGATAAAATACTTTTGTTTTTAAACACTAGAGGGTGAGAATCCGGTAAAATATGCGAATACATAGTTTACAAAAATTATACAAAAACGAAAAGAATCCTTCGCTCGCGCGTATAGAACGACCTAGATTTTTGAAGCAGTGAAAAATGGATAAAAACCCCGTCTTGTATGCGAGTAAATAAGGTAAATATCAATGCTAACTTCTAAATATTATATTCTCTTACGTCATTTGAATTGACCAATATAAATTTAATTTAAATAATCAAAACTTAGAAGAACTATTTGTACAGCATACAATTTAAAGTATGTTATTTTCCAGAAATGACACAATAGACGGCTTATACAAATAAATATTAAAAATTTTATGACATTTTGTTTATTGTTTTGTCACATTTAGTAATATTCGTGCAATTTCAGCTATTTTTAGATTAATATCTAAAAGTAACTGGATAAATTTCAGCTGAGATTATCCTATATAAGTATAGCTCTCAGCTGAAATCTTTACAGTTATATACAGATCTGCAGCAAAGTGATAGTTTAGTTTTAAAAAATAAATACATTTTTTATATGATCTTAAGACTGATGCAATTTTCTGTGTAGAAAAAATATTACGTTTATGTCTTTTAATCATTATTACATTCTTAAAACCATGTATTAAAAAACACATGGTTTTTAAGAATGTAATAATGATATAACTATCGGAAAATTTATAATTTTAAGTTCTAATTATATTAAGATACAACATTTAACAGTCCTAATGTTAGGAGCATACCGGGTTTAAGATATTAGACTGATAAATGAAATGAGTGGTAGATGAATAAACTCACCATAATATTTTTTTCTCAAACCGGGACAACTTTGACAAAATACTCACAACATAAAGTAAAGCCTACTAGGATAAGTAACTATGATTGAAAAATCTAAATAAAGAAGTTGTTAACAAAAAACTATGAGTTAAAAGCCTAAAGTCCTTGGTTAAAAGCACTTTTTAATAACTCAACCGACATGCCTTAATATTAAGAAGTTATTAATATTTATTTTAAAATTCTGTGTTATTTTTAATGGCATCAAATTTAATGCAATTTAAATCGGTACCATTAAAATTTATGACAATATATTTGAGGAAGTTCCTTCCGCTGATACTAGGCTTGCCTTATGTTTCGCACATTTCAAGTGATTTTTAATGTCCGAACGCCCATGAGTTACTGAATATTCTGAAAAGCACAGAGTTCTCATTTCACTTTGTCAATACGATTATAAACGTTTTCAAAAACGGGTAATTTTCTTTAATTCATCTGTAAACACAGTTTCTTTTTGGCATTTTGGAAATTAAATTAATTTAATGCACAGTACAAAATAATCGTAAATGCCGACTGGCAATTCGAACTCGACTTCAATTCGAACATATTAATTTCTATAAGATAGGACATGCTCAACAATGACGTGGCCAGTGTAAGTTTCAATGTTTCCAACTCTAATTGAAACAAAATACTGTATCTAAAAAATACCTGGATCTCATAGGCTACGTGCTATTATAAATTCTGTGAAAAAGTGCCTGGATGAAAAAATAAAACATCTAAATTCATTAGGCTACATGCTATAAGTTTTGGGGAAAAACATCTAGGCAACATTAAAAGTACAGTAAAATATCGTTTAACGGTATCTCGATTAACTCTGATTTGATATAACGCGATATATAATTTTGATATAAGCCTTAAAAAGCTGTATCGTTAGATTGACCAAATTGTCAACCTAATCGATACAGCAGGACTAGGAGATGTAGACGAGCAGGATATTGAGAAGTTACTGCACGTTTCTGGTGAGAGCCTTGCCAACGAAAACCTTCAAGAACTGTCAGAACACGAAATTCATGTAGAACTGGAAAATAGTGATTCTGAAAACGATGAACCCAAAGAATTTCTCTACAGATTTCCTTAGTGAAAATTTGGTAACAATAATGGAATTCGTCGATCAAATTGTAGCGATTGATCCAGATTTTGAAAGGAGTGCAAAAGCAAAAAGAGGCGTTTTAGATGCGACCTCATGCTACCGACATTTGCTTCAGGAAAGAAAAAAAAAAGGCGACAAATGACACTAGAGACTTCATCGCAAAAAAATCAAGAATTTCAGAAGAGTCAGGACCTTCGTCACAAAAAATGAACTTTACATTTCTGTGTGCACATGTTTATGTGTTATTTAACATATATTATTATACAAATTAATATAAACATAACTTAAAATTAAAGTAAAATCTGTTTATTTTTGGTCGCGTGTTTCCTTTTCCCTATTTACTCTGTGTTAAAATGTCCTCGTTTAACGCTGTTTCATTTAGCGCTTTATTGTTTAGGAACTTATCCCCCGCATTAAACTGGTTTTAAATCTAGATACAAAATATTTAGATTGGCAACAGTAAGTGTAATGGATGGGATATTTTAGTTGCCAATTGCCATATTACCTGAGGCTGCACCATTTTTACTTCTTGTATATTTGTCACTTTTAAAATTTTACCAAATAACCGGGACAAAATGACAAACTAGCCGGGACGCAGGGACCACATCATCAAACCGTGACAGTTCCGGTTAAAGCGGGACGCTGATAAGCCTATAGATGGGATCAATACAAGTAATTTTGGTCATATGAACTGGAATTCGTCGCAGTCGTCTTGTGAGATAGAGGGTCCTAAATTTTTGGAAGCGGTTGCTGTCCTATGATGCATGAATACAGAAAAACCTGGCATTACCGATAAACATTCTGTTAAAGTTATGCATGGAATGCCGTTAAATGCTAAAGAAGGACAAATAAAAATCTGTGAAGGGCTATTTTAATTTTCAAATAGTAAAGATGACTTTTTTATAGAAACAATAAGTCATACGAAGGATTAAGCAAGACGTCGTAAGATCATCAAATCCAATTTTAAAAAAATTATTACTTTTTAATTGGTTGTTTCTATGTTTTAAGGAACTTTTTCCAGGACGGCCACGTAGCCTAAAAAGGAAGGTCGGGTCGTCTGAAGTTTTTACTAAGGAACATTTAAGAGAAATATGATGATCATCCAAGAATTTTTGGAAGCGACTACGTCTTAATTAAAAAAACAAGTCATACATAAGTCAAACGAAATACAGTCTAACCCTTTATTGCCTGACGGGACTTTCTAGTCCCACTATCTTTGATATTTTTTATTTCATAATGTATGCATTATGAAATAATGCATACATTATGAAATAAAATATAGCTTTCTGGGACTTACATTGTATTATTGTATAAAGTGTTCTTTTTCTCTTCTAGAGGCTAGTAACTTTCAAACTGATTTTGTTTTAGTTTTGTTGAAAAAAGTTTCACATCGTGTGTTGTCTGAATGGTAGTAGCTGATATTGCTTTCTTTGTTGCCAAATTCTACTTATTGTTTTCAAGTTAAATGTCTTTGTATTTTTTAATATGTATTCTAGATATGTGTAGTTTGATTTTAATGTATTATGTTTGTAGAATTAATGATTTGCAAGCTGTATGAGATCAAAATATGTTTGGGACTTATGAGTCCCGTCAGGCCCGAGGGAATCTTTTTTGTAAATGTTAGAAATTTGTATTTTCTACATTGTGCTTTATAAATTTATGAATTTGTTTAACATTTTTATAGTTAATATACATATAAGACTTATATATATATATATAAATAGATAATTTTATATATAAAAAATTTCCATTTGATATTGATACACATCAAAACCAAATACAAAATGCACATCACGTAAAGTTTTCTTGTGTGTAAATGGAAAAAAATAGCTTTTTACATCTTTACTAATCATAAATTATTAAACCAATAAATTTTATTTTAGTTTTGTCATGCATTTTAATTTTTTTTTAATATTTTGATTTTATTATAGGCCATACAGTAAAAGTTAAAAAATACTTAATATATATGATTATGCATTTAATTTGCAAATTTCTATGATAAAAGATCTTTATATAAAACAAAAATATTTTATTTTCAAAATATTAAACAAAAAAAACTTGTTAAGTCCAAATGTGCTCTAAAACCTGACGGGACTTATAAGTCCCATAATTAAAAAATGTTTAATTT